GAAGGAAGGAAGAAAGAAAGAAAGAAAGGAAGAAAGAAAGAAAGAAAGAAAGAAAAAAGAAAGGAAGAAAGAAAGAAAGGAGAAAAGAAAGAAAGAAAGTGGGGAAAAAAGCAAAGAAAGAAATGCATAAGGAAGAGGGAAAGAAGAGAAAAGAATAGAGAGGAAAGGAGAAGAAAATGCCCACTGTTGCCCCATTCTAAAGCCATGCAATCTAATCCTTACTTGATGCCTGTTGTAATCTCCGCTTAGTATTCGAGTCAGTATACCATACACTTCACGCGGTGTTAACTACGATATTACACAGGTGTAACATACAAACCCACGTGGTTATATAAGTGCTTCACTCTTGTATTCTGTCCTCGACATCTAGGTGGATTTTAAAGTATCATTTGTGTAGTATCATTTGGTGATTCTATTTCGATTGAGAATAACATCCATCTATGCAGCATAGCTGAGACTTTGAGTGTCTTTTAAAAATCGTGTCAATGACTTGTCGAACGAATAAGAACACAATTTTCACGATTTTTATTATTATTGGCTTTTAGAAAGAGTTACATTTGCAAGTTCACATTCAAAAGAAGTGACACGCAAAAACCTCTTATTTTTAGTTTATTTCCGTCGTTAGAAATGTCTGCTCATTATCCAACCATTTGTCTTCTCTGTCAGTAAAAGTACTGACTTGTTCAAAGTAGGACAAACCGTTTCAAATATGAAGTGAGCGCACAATCATCGGGAGGGAGGGACGTGTACTCAACCACTTCACTTGATTCTACATCCCACGACTTTTAGACAACTGATGTTTTGACTGCGAGCGACGTGGTTGACGTTGGCGCAAAACACCGGAATATCATATAAACTTCTATTCAAAAGTTTTAGATGTACTTTAGTGGCCAAATCAAGACTAAGAATAAGAACAAAACACTTTAGGGTCAATCGATATTGATGAAGTGATATTTTGAGATTGCGCGGGCTTTTTGGCGCCTTTGTGCAGCTGCAAGCTACACGTGCCCTAGCGGTTGTTAGACTGAGTTAAAAACTGAATAAATCATGGGGATCATTACTAATTGATCCCATGACGGGAAGGCCACATTATTTCCAAGTTACAGCAAAACATCCACTGAGGAGTCCTTCTAATTTATCCTCTTACCTAGTTCAACCTTCAAGCTTTAGGTTATGCAGGAAAAGGATTTAAAAAAAGAGTGGAAACTTCAGAGGATTTATAGTTCGATCTGGCTAAAAATCTTCTGTTATAATTTTCCTATCGAACCTATTCCGAAAACTTTCAACGCAATTTGAATTCTTTTAGTATTTTATTTGCTTGTTTACGACATGTAGCTTTGTGAGCCTGTTTCAATAATATTGCAGTCGTTAGCTTTGTTGATATCTCTTATTGTTGATTTATATAATCGTATTGCTTTTGTTTATGTTTTTGTTATACCAAGGGATAAAAACATAAACTCGAAGATAGAAATAATATGTTCAGAAACTAACATTTCCAAGTAACTACGTTGTTGGCTGCTTTCCTTTCATAGTTACAAAGCATTCTATTACCAGAATTCTAAAATGATGACAAACAGGAAGAGAAGGCTTATGGCTTAGCACGTGCTTATGTTACCGGCATTGCTTTTAATTTTTCAAAAGTAATTTTGCAAACAATGAATAATTGGTTCTATTCAATGCATGCTTTAATTGGAAATGCCGCCAGATTTTTGTATATGGAAAGGTAGTCTTACGACTTGGCCGAAGAAGGCTTTGAAATTTAATTATCTGATGGTCAGTTTTGGCAATCGCATCTTTTTTCTCTCCATGCATTACCCTACCCTACCCTACCCTACAGAGGTTTTAATTCGTTACCCAACGAAAACCGGAGGGACAAGAAACCTTATAGTTAAACATGCATGCACCATGACCAGTTCCAACATTTTGGTCGTTAAATATTATAATCTTGTCTGCATCTTGACATGGCATTTTTATCAAGGTCTTTAGTGTCTGTCTGTCTTAAGTTCAAGACTTTTAAAACTATGTTTTTCAAATCTTCTTAGTCCACGCTAACCCAACCGACAATACTTCTACTGCATCGTGAAAACTCCAGACCATTTCTTTCTAGATACTAGCTCCCCCCCCCCCCCCCCACGTTTTTGTGCAATTGGCTAGTGGCACCCGACAAGCACATGGCAATAGCGGTTTTTACACCTTTGCATCCGTCCGATAGCAGTTGTCCGTTATAAACCAGTATCTGTTGGCCTGATTGATTCAAATAACATCCAGCCTGCGCGTCGATGGCAATGCCCCCTCCCCGTTGCGACAGGTGTGCAATATTTTGATTGCATTGACAGGCAATGGAGCAGTCTGCGCTACGGGATCGATTATTCCATGCATTCTACTGGTACCTGTGCAATGGCCATACTCCAATAGTTACATACACTGTTTTCTATTGACTCTAGGGCATTCACAGCTGTCTTGGGATAGGCTGCCTTTAGTCTTTCTAAGTCACGTTTACAAGCCGGAACTCCACCAAAATATGATCTGACCCCATGAGGGTACAGAAACTTGTAATCCAAGCTTGTTTTAGAAACTACTCGTAGGGGGAAATATTTTTGCTCTTTATGCCACTGAATATATTTAGAGGTTTAGCTTAATTCTGTTGCCATCAGAGTCAACTGATGATCGATTTGAAATAACAGACAACCAGTTGAACCGTTGGTGAACGTGCGTAGACGGTCAACGTGGGATCCTTTGTTCACTTACACCCTGCCTGATTCATTTAGCTTAAAAAACCTTTCTTGATATTCCTTGTCGAAACTCACCTAATAAACTAAACCATGCTAAAACCATAGTCATACTTTATATATCTTTATATGGATTATTTTATTGTATTCTAAATGTACATAACACTGAATAGAATGTATTTCGCATTAAGGTTTAATAATTGATCTCTAAAAACAGGAACACTGGCTTTTAAGTCTAATATTCCAAATGAACATTTGTTTTGGAGATTAAGGAAACATGCCCACAACAGGTCTCAGTGGCATTCAAACTATGCAACTGTTGGCACAACAACACTCGAGTTGCAGCTGTTTTCTGACGTCAACCTTTACAGCTGACTGACCCAAACTGCCCCAGCTTCTTGTCAACAACTAACTAGCTTAATTTTTTATAATCTTTACTCTCAGCGAAATGGAATGTAAAGATATAGAAACAGCCAACAAGATATGGCAAAGAATGGTCGAATCTTTTATGTTTTGCTCTTTCCATAAACCTGCGAGTTGCAGAGAGTTGCGGGTATAGAATATTTGAATGTTGTTAGGAGTGTGTATGGAGGATACACGGCCCCACAAGCTTCTAGCTTTTAAAGCCTTCCGTGTATTAATAGAAAAAGAAAGATTTATTTTATTTTTTATTTAATACTTTACGTAATGTCCACTCCCAATAAAACGTTTTATAACAAACGAGAATTGTTTACCTACAACTCTACATCCCAACACAGATGAATATCCATAAACTAAACTGCTTAGCTCTCCGATAGCTGTTCACTTTTGCAAGGAACGTCCAATCAATTAAACTCGTTAGTAAGGCCCGATTCCAAATGTTGAACGCGATGGATGACCATGTTCACTGATTCTGAATAAGTACTGATGGTCACAGTCTAACCACTGATGATGGAACAGAGAAGCTAATCACAAATTTAACACTCAAATCTTAGAGGGGGACTCTCTACTAACTATGCTTAAATGCTAATTCATACGACTTAGAGTAGGGCATGCATAATCTAGTTAACAAACGCATTAACTCAGCTAAACTCAAGTCAATTTTATTCAGTTTGACCTTGAATCAGCGAAGGTAGTTCGAGAAAGGGCACAGATATTATTAGACTATTATTGTTAATGCTGTATTTTGTAATTAATCAAAGCGGCTGTCCTTATGGATATTAGTTAAGTACACCGCCTTGCAGCTGTTGGACTGGATAAACAGCTGAAAGCGCGTCCTTCAAGATTCACAAAAAATGGAACAATCACCTTATCAAAAATTGAAGAATTTGGGACCTTAAAATAGAATAGAGATATTCTTTATGGTTTTAATTTTTATTTTTTCGTTTTTGTTGTTGTTGTTGTGTGACTTTTCTGTGATGAGAGGTTGGCGAAAGCTTGGTTATGCATCGGAATGCCGACGATTGCATTCATTGCAGCACATAATTGGCGTCTGTTTATTTATAGAACATGTTGACGAAAAGAACAATCTAAACAACTCTCCGAAGCTAAAAAACATTTCCAAACTTCAAAACTATCCAAAATATAGAGCATGGTTTACTAAAATCTCAAGAAAAGGTACTAGGATAGTGTTTTAAGTCGCAAATGCTTGCCTTCTCCTGGGTCTCATGGCAGCCAAATGGTCTACTGAAACTGCTATTGAAGCGGAACATAGCGATGCAACTGATTGCATTCCTGATTGCAGCTGTGCTTGTAGCGTTGGTAATTAAAATGCCGGTCGCGTCCTACTTAATTAATTTCGGTGTTGCTTGCTTGTTTTTGTTTTGGTGCAATAGATAAACCCCATATGAAAGCCAATAATATTTTTTCTAGTTTAGGGCAGGTGAAACAACCGATAACGTTGTCTAGCTGATGCCGTTTGGACATGTTATCAGCTGTGCGTCCAGTGTAAGGTACGACATTCTATAGCACCTTGTGGTTTATGCGTAGACAATGGCAAGGATTACACTGGCTTTGTCGAGTAGCTTAAACTGACATTCCTTTAGATCTACATAATTTTTGTATGGCAAACGGCCATCAAAACATGCCACAATTGTCCAATTAGCCATATGTGATTGCAGACATTTTAAACTAAATACGCAGATAGTAGAGGAATCTATCTTCATAAATTCTGATCCCAATCACGGGAAGGTGCTTTTTCTTTGTGTATCATTGATCTGATGAACTCTGATTTGCAGGTTTTTCGAGTGAAGGAATCAAGTCAGTTGTTTCCCACGGACTATCGGACTCATCACTTCTGCTTACAATTACCTATTGTTCAGGAGTCGATATAGAAAATATTTTTATCCTCACACCTGCATACACAAAGAGATTGTCTTGTCTCTGCTCTATTTGACACCCTAAAGCCGAGTAAATAGATAAAGTAATGGCTGATTTTTTATCCCCATTATAAACCTCACTCTTTTTTTTGGGGGGGGGGGGGGGAGTATCGAGAATGCCAGGTATAAATCTATGGAAGTAAACTGCATTTTTCCATTTGTTTTTGTCAGGAGGTGACATGTTTAATGGAGTGTTGACTTGTGTGTGTTGATTTTTGAAGCGTGAAGATCGGGAAGTGTCGTCATGCCGCTTTTGAATGGCTTTAGTGATAACCTGCTTGAAGTGACTTCCTGCGAAACAATAGGTGACAGAAAAAACAATCAACACGCAGCTGATATATATATAAGGGAGGTCATAAGCAATACTTTCAGTAACGACAATATCTCGACGCTACCTTACGAACACTGTGGTTAGACTAAAAACTAGAACGAAAATGCAAGTTGAAAGAGGAATGGAGTGCTTTCCAAAGTTTAACAACGAAACAACAGAACTCGGTCAACAGTCCCTGATCAACGAGTCTGGTTCTGAGAAGCAAGTAGAAGGCGCTTTTTTGGAGCTTCGAAACATTCTGCCCTTTCTGCCACAAAGGCAAGAAAAGCTATCAGATCTAGAGGTTCTTCAGCTGGCGATGGAGTACATATCTAGTTTAGAGGAAGTTTTAGAACTAGAACCAAAGCAGAATGTGAAAAGTTTGTGAAGCAAGTGGGGAACAGTCTTGTGATATGTCTTAACAGCGGGCTGACAGTACCGAACTTTCTTGCGAACTTTCTTGAAATTAAAGGATAAAATATGGTACTTGTTTTGATTCCCAACCAAGTATTCAATTCTACGGAGAACTCCAGCTCAGGTTAATGTTTGTCTATAAAGAACTTACATTTAACCCTGTGAGGAATTCGAAGGTCCAAGATAAATAGCTTCAGTGGAAAAGACTTTAATTGAACGAACTTGTACTACACGACAAGCATCATCTTTCACCGAAATATTGAGGCTATCAGTTCTCGAATGGACGAGAAGAAGTGTATGTAAAAAGACTAAATATTGACATTCTATACTATACTTGCTTTACTGCATTGCTTGATATTTTTATGTCTTATATATGCTAGAGCTCGATAAAGAAGATTTATAAATGTTCATATCTCGTTAGAGGCAATTAAGGAATTTTAACAGTAAATTAATTGGCCAAGTGCTTAATGATAGCTTAACGTGTGTAGCAAGTTTAAAGGTTGTTTACTCAATCTGCACTTGGTATTTAAGCACAGAAAAATCCTTCGAACTAGAGCTTCAAGTTTTTGTTTCTAGAAATAATTAGATAACTAAAAAACTGAAGTGTACATCAAGAGAAATCATCACCATTGAGTGTTAAGCTATGTGATGTAATTATTATTTCAATTTAACTAATGTAAATATAAAATTGGAAGACTGTAGAACATCAAAATACATGTAAATATTAATAGAATACTACTAGCGGAGAAAATATAATATTAATAAATATATATATCTTAAACATTACGCACAGATTCGAGTTCATCTTTATAGTAATGGTTTTCATTGATACCTGCGTATTGACTTATAATTGAAGTGCAAGTATATATGTGTCGATTTCCGGTCTGTCATCTTTACAACTCGCAAATTTATGTTTCTTTTGGGAAATAGAATCGAAATCGTCAACAAACTCTTGCAGTTGTTAATGTATACCTTTGAGGTCTACGAACATCTCTAGGGTTTAGATGAAGACTAAAAGCCATCATGCGTGAATAGAAAAAATGCAGATGTCTCTGGTTAACCAACACTCAGGTCTTTGACCTTCATCTTTTTGGCGGGAAAAATTAATTGGCTTTTATAGTATACAAGTAAAGCACATGGTCCAAACATATGGATGCTTTTACCATTTCATTAGAACATGTAAAATTTCGGTACTTGACCATAATGAACTCACTACCATGAATAATGTAAATAACCAATGATGTTGTCATTCAAGGAGGTTTCTGGTGATCGTCTCTTCGAGCAACATTAAAGGATTTTTCAGTAAAATCCAAAACATAACTGACAGTTGATTTGTGACGTCATTGGAGAAATTTTGCGGGCTTTTCGTCAACTGAACTGGGCGATTAGCTTCAAATTAGGTGTGAAGATTTGAAGCGATTTAGACAAGATTTGAGAGAGCTAAGAGCCATTTCGAAATTGAAATAGGTCCATTTTCGTTCAAAATGCTTCAAATCTTCACAGGCATAAGATCGACTTATTTGTCTTAATACAACTGACGTACTGATACCCAGCTTAATTGCCTGTGATGTCATGTACCACTGATAACTGCTATTAATGTTGGTCAAATATGATCATTATCGTCATTATTACATTCTTGATTCGCTTGTTTCATCCAGAACGAATACTAAAAACGATATTTTTTCTCATGATACGAGGTTCTAAGCTTTTAAAATTATTCCTTTTTTTACGCATTAAGAATCAAAAAATTTCTCCAAAGCTGATTGGTTTGTGAAAAACAGTGTCATCTCCACGCGGTCAGCGCAAGCCTCCTAACTCGCTGCAAAACTTCACTGAGTCTGTACATTCTCTAACTGGCTGTTATCTTTGACCCTCGTAGAACTGATTAATTGGTTATCAGTTTCATCTTTTAGATCTTTTGTTTCCTGATTTTTTAAACTCTTTGGAGACGAGAAAGCTGCGTTACTTTCCTGTTTCGACTCATTGACTACATCGTCTGGTGGTGTATTGTGTAACTACTATAAGATGGAGGAGTGACCGGTATACAATTGGCAACGGCTACTCATTTGTGGTCAACAAAATCCAAGGAAAAATATTATCTAGAAGTTGAACAAATCGATGAAAACGCTTAGGGCAGTAAGTTCAAGTCTAGTTTAATATTTACTTCATTCCAGCTAAAAACTGAAAAACAAGGATAAAACCTCGCCAATATACCAGGTACGATTGGAAGTCACGTGACAAACTAAAATTAAATAACCCCTTAAACAATTCAGTATTTCGGAATATTTTACATTCTTTTGTGGATAGGTGCTCTGCTGGATCAGCATAAACTAAGTCAAACCACCGCCATATGTAATAGGCCGTATTTGACAATAAACTTTCTCAAGTGATGGAAATAAAAATCCTACCGAACCCTAAACAATACCGACCTTAATCATATGATTTTGGTCCAAATTGCACTCCACTCAGTTCAATTACCATCATTAATTAGGGAGTGATGGAGATAAATATCATTCCGAATCTAAACAATACTTACCTTATTTATCATACTGCACCTTTAATTGATTTCTTAAATATTTGGGCTTCCTGCTTTTGACGCGGTTACTCAGTTACCCTCGTAAAGAACGCCTGTTGGCTTTTGACAAAACCAACGTGAAAGTTACATAACAAAAAGCATATGCAGTATTTTCAATTTATTCTTTTAAAGCTTTGCACTATTTTGTCTTTATTCAGTCCTTCATTACTATGCCTGAAGGCCCAGAGCTTTACAAAACTGCTAGACTTGTCAATACAGTCTGCGCAGGTAGAGTTTTTCATGGGAAAATCGTGAAATCAGCCGTCAACCAAAAGAACCCAGAAATCCACCATAACTATGACGACTACACTATTCAAGCCGAGTCGTGCGGAAAAGAAATGGCTCTTATTCTTAAACCCTACTCTTCTGTGGATTCTAAGGAATTAAAGAAGATGAAAAAGGAGACAAATAGTTTGAGAATTCTTTTTCGATTCGGCATGTCGGGAAAGTTTCAGTTTACGTCAATGAATGACATTCACAAACACGCTCACTTGAGGTTCTTCACTAAAGAAAAGCCAAAAATGGTTTTAAGCTTTGTTGATGTTAGAAGGTAAGTCAGGAATATTGTAAACGTTTTTACAATCTTGTTGAATGCAGCTACCCACCCTAATAATATGCGGTAGGGGTGGGGGATGGAGCACGTTTTTGCTAAGGACTAGTGGCAGCTTTGATAGCAGTCTTGGTAGCTTTGGCTGTGAGCTTGCAGCAAAAAAATTTTTATCCTGCCCGCCCACTCCTCATTCGGTGGGAGCCAGGTGAGTATTATTCCACAGAGTGGTCAGTGTGACAGGTACCAGGTGGTGAGCTGTGGCCCGGCCGCCATGGTTACCTCCGTGGTAGGGCATAGTCTGATTGATGTGCACAGCCTCTACCATGGTACCTAAACCCCAAACTTATCTAGACGACAAGTATTAATGGCCTGTTATTTGCTTTTGATTCCTGAACAGATTTGGTAGATGGGAAACCAAAGATTCCTGGTCAGAAAACCGAGGCCCTGATCCAATATTGCACTATGAAGCATTTCGAGACAATGTGTTGAATAACCTGGAAAATCCTGTCTTCAATAAGCCTTTATGTGAAGTAATGCATGACCAGAAGTATTTCAACGGCATAGGGAATTATCTTAGAGCTGAAATTATTTACAGGTATGAATATATACATCATGATGCCCTATATCCATGCTCACTATCATGTCGTTTATGGAATATAATATTTTGAAGATATTGGTTTTGAAAAAATTAAGTAATGTATACTGTACATAATCAGGAAATGCTATATTTTTGTTTCATTGTTAAAACTTTTCAGGGCAGATATTCCTCCATTTACAGCTGCTAGAAAAGTACTTGCAAACCTTAAGGTCAAAGAGGAAGCTAGTTGTGATACGAAGGTATAGAGAGCTGATCATATTTGACAGCATTTTATAAGGTTTTTTCATATTATAAGTATTAGCAATAAAGTGCAAATAAAATGTAAAATACAAAAAGAAAACAAATGGGACTTAGAACCATTCAAATGGAATTTAAATGTTGCGTAATTTGTTAGGAGTTGTGGTGGTACAGAAACCACTCAACTGTTAGCACTGCAAAAATAATGATCTATCATGTTTTGAATTTCAGTTAACTCAATATGTGACTACTGTATTTTTAGCTCTCCAAATTGTGGTGTGAGTTAACTGAAATTAAAAACACGATTGATCTTTATTTTGGCAGTGTTAGTATACCAGCCATGCCTCCCAGAAAATATGTATGTTATTAAGAAAAGCAGAGTTTCCTCTAAGCCATCTCTCTATGCACTTTTGATCATATTCTCGTATTCAAAAGTTTTATTACTATCTATGAATTTCTTAAATCAACAGGGACCATGGAGCCGGGGGGCTGGGGGCTGCAAAAAATATGAATATAAATAAAAATGTTCCCCCCCTAAAATTTGATTGAGAATAAGCTTAGTTTTTAATTTTCAAATGCCAGCCCTCCCCCCCCCCCCCCCCCCCCCCCCCCTTTTCAAAATGCTCCCTGGTCCCTGATCAATAAAGTCTTATAATAATTGACTTCTACTACTCTAATATATGAAGATATAGAAATATAGATAAGTTATAGTGCTTGGGAACATATTCTCATCTCTTCATCATAATCACCGCGACCTAACATCTATTTCACCCCGGCCTGCTCTCAGTCTGACCTCTAGCTCAGCTGGTAGAGCATCGGTAGTACAATTCCGAAGGTCGTGGGTTCGATTCCCAGCGAGATCGGAAATTAATTTTTCCAAATTTAATTCCAAGGGTGTTTCGCCCGGAATAACCTCGTTCCCAAGCACTATAACTTATCTATATTTCTATATCTTCATGTATTTCATAAGTGCTACGCGGTCCACATATTCTCATCTCTACTCTAATATAATATGAAATAGCATTGCAGCCACTTACAATGACTTTAATAAATTATATTATATCTAAATAAATTATTTATTTTAAATTGTGTTATATTTTCATCCATTAAAAGAATTTAAAAGAAGCGGATATCTTAAAGCTTTGTAACATCGTTCCCAATGAAGTTATTCAGTTATGTAAGTAAGCAATCTATATAGATCACTTTGATGCCAGCAGATATCACTAGTTTGTAACCCCTTTGCAATTTTTCCACAGCTGGTGCAGGTTATGATCCATCAGGAAATCATTCTGATTATTCTGCTTTCATGAATTGGTTACAGTGTTACAGTAATCCTAACATGAAAAATCTTATCGATCATGATGGCAGAACTATGTGGTTTAAGGTAACAGCATGAATTAAACTTAAAATATTTATTCTTTCTGCTTAGAAAAGATAGGTTTTGATAGTAGCAGGCAAACGCTTTTTCTTGGAGTTTTCCTGGAATATCTTTGAAGAAAAGAACATTTTTTATAGATCTATCCCAAAATGGTTCAGATTTTTGACCTTCATATTTTTGCTTATCTTTGATGTTTAGGGTGAAGCAGGACCTCTTGCCCCTAAAGGTATGCAAAGTACATGTTATAATAAAATGACTGTTATAAATCTCGCGTTCTGATTGGTTGGGAATGCGTGCTTTATGAGCGCACACAACATGCGCGCGCACTTTCAGTTGCGTTGTTCCTATCCAAAATGACGGTTATTGTAATTTGTATTTTATAAAAGAAATAACAAACTTGCTTGGTGTGCTGTGTACTGTTATAAAGCATTTGGGGATTGGCAGAGCACTCGAGAAGTGTTGAGAAGCACTTCGCTACGCGTCGTGCTTCTCCTAACACTTCTCCCGTGTTCTGCCAATCCCGCGTGCTTTGTAAATGCATACAGCACGCACGTGCAACATTATGCTGTTCTGGCAATATATTTTTTCTTTTTAACTCTCTAAACCTATTCTCTTCAACCATGTTCCTGTTGTAATACGATCATTTTCCCCCTTCTATTTATAGTATCATTTGTGTACAGTTTAAAAAAAATTATTGGAAAATTGATTCACACTCAAAGAGATTGAAGAGAGGGAGAAGGAGTCGAAGATTTTTCTAATTTTGTTTTGCTTTTGTTGCACAAGCGACAATCACCAACTATTAAAGCTCCAATTTTCTAAGTTTTAACTTGCAAAAGTCTAAAATGGAATTGGAATAAAGAAGTCGAAGAGATACTGGAGACTCTCGAAGGAGGAGATATCCAACAAACGACTCTTTTCAAACGATGAGGGCCCTGGTGAATTGCCAGGCAGAGCATGCGCAATAGTAGCTCACATCGCGCGTGCCTTCCAAGACCAGGGGAAGCGGGAGAGGCAGGGGAAAGACAAAAAAGCATAATTATTTTAGCTTTTTATTGGTTTTATTTGATAGTGACTGTCTTATCACTGAACGATTCCTTTTAGGTGGAAAAACAAGAACTGCAAGAAGATACGGAAAGCACAAGACCAAAAGTGAAAACGAAGAACATCAAAAGAAAAAGGTATAAACGAATGTAAAACTGGACGATGTCTTCTCGTTCCTTCCACACGAGTCTATCTTTGCAAAATTTGCGCTTAGCAAATGCAATTGTGTCAACACGTCCGCAAATTTCCAACTTCTACATTGATTCCAATTAGGTCTGGTGTAGAAAAGCTCAATAAGGCCTCTGGCTTGGAAGGCTGAGAAATCACTTCCTGCTTATCGACCAAAAATAAACTTCAGTTAGTTTAGAAGCCCATAACTATATATAGTTATGAACTTCTGATTAGGTCCAGAGTTTTAATAATTTTTTTGAACAGGTCAAACCAGAGCTGGAAAAGAAACCTTCAGTCAAGAAAGAGAGAAAATCTATCACAAGAAAAGGTAATGAGGAATTGTGTTGCGATATTTTTTTTGCAGGACCTCTCTGAAAAACACCTTGGTGATAACAGCCTGTATAAACATTGTTATTATTATTATTATTATTGTTATTATTATTATTATTATTATTATTATCTTTATTTACAATTTGCTTCAATTTGCTTCAAAATTCTTAGTTTACCGAGTCCAATCCATGGGCCTTGGAAAAACAAAAATATATATACAATACGAGGTGTAATTAAAATATAAAATAAAATAAATCGATTAAAAGGGAAAAAAGAAATCAAGAATCAAGTAATCATGAGAGTTTTTCTAATGATGTGTGCAGAGATGTCCCCTTTTAAATGGTTGACATATTGTTGTTATTATTATTATTATTATTATTATTATTATTATTATTATTATTTAGAAAGTAATAAAGGACTGGAACTTGAGTAAAATTGCATAGTTTTAACCTCATTTTGTTTTCTTTCTTTTGAATTACCTAAGGTACAGAAAAAAGCGACAATAAACCTACCGCTTCTGCTGTAAATTTAAGGAAGAGAAAACTCAGCACCACTGAGGATAAGGTCAGTATTTAGCAATAATGAATAGGAATCTTGAAACACCAGATATAACGAAAACAGATCAGGGTTCATGGAACTCTCTACCTCCTTCAATCCTAAAGAGCACCCAAAGGCCCTGTTACACATTGAAAACTTTTAGCTGAAACTTGTGTGCAACGTTGCAGAAACGCAAATCCCCTCCCACTCTAGTACCTTTGCAAAGGTATTTTAAAATAATAATTATAGCTATAGTTATAGATAGTGAATAAAAATTCAACAGATTATAAAATGCTTTCAGGTCAAAGAAGGTTCTAAAAAAAGAGCCACCAGCAAAAACTCCGTCTTGGAATCCTCTCGTAGCGAAAAAGGTATAACTGTAGTATAGAATTGCTACTAATATTATTGGATGCCCTAGTTGGGGGCGGGGTCGGGTGAGAAGGAGAACCTCGGCTTGAAGTGTTTGCTTTATCAAATTTTATCCGTTCACAATTTTTTTCAATATTTTTTTTAAATATTAAAATGTTTTAAAAAGCATCACGCTCATTTTTATGGCGTAACAAGCGAGGGGAGAAAGGCTTCGGTATTTGCCTAAGATTTCATACAGATAGACGACTTGCGCTAACGAGTCACGTGACCCCATCCCCTTAAAACGAGCAAAAGAGTCAAAATGAACTCAAGAAATGAAAAAAGCACATCAAATAAGCCTGAAGCGAGATGACGTTTTACCCCCGACTCTATACCATAATAGTTCTTAAAATTCTTTCATATTAAAATTTTTGATTCCTTAGATAATACAGGAACAATAGTCATAATTAAAGAACAAAAGCAATGTGAAAAGGATTATGGTCTAGAGACGGGGGTAAAACGTCATCTCGCTTCAGGCTTATTTAGTGAGAGGAAGAAGTTTCAGTTCGAAATGTTGACTAAAGAAGAAATACCATTAAATATAAAATCAAATATTTTACAAGAATATGTATGGAAAAAGTGTTGGCTGGCAAGCTTTTGCCATCTAGCGCATTTTCCCATACAAATCCTTGTGAAACATTCAATTTTATATCTAATGCCATCTCTCCTGTTTTGCTTATTATCAGCTGAAAATATGCCTCTCTACTAATGCCGAGATGCCCTTTTCACTTCTGCTTTTTATTTTGACAAAACTGCTCGTCTTAAGGGAGCGGTAAGGTCACATGACCTGATAGTGCAAGTCGTCTATTGCATCCCAATCAATTTTCCTTTTATTTTTCTAGTTCCACGAAGAGCAGTCAAATCTGGCAAGGGATCCACTGCAACAAGACGACTTTCGAAAAGGAAAAAGCCTAATTCAAGTTGAAGAAGTGAATTTTAGATAGAATGGGAAGTATTGCCTTTCAGATGGGATTTCCAATCAGTTCCGCCATAATAACTGTGTACAGATCAAGAATAACCAGTGGATGCATGTCTTTGAATGAACGCTGTAAATGTTTCACTAAATAATTCAACATATGTAAATCATTGTTTGACTTAATGTCTGTGAATCAAATGTTTGATGAGGGATTCGTTGTTCTTTTGTAAATATTTTATCGCAGTAAACGGTTTCGTATTATAATAGAAAAATGTTCTATTTTTTATAGAATATATTACTTACTGTGTCAGTTAATCAGTTAGCAAACATGCGCATGCGCGTGAAGAGTCGCAATGCGAGTTGGATGGTGCTTCTTCAAGTCAATAGCATTGGCCGCCTTTAACTTTATCGAGCATTTTCGAGAACACAACAGGGAGCCCAAAACAAAGCAAATCGCCTTTCATTTGGTCTGCGTAAAGGCCCAAAAGGGAAGAGGGAAAGGGGAGGTGGGTTCCCTTCTCCCCTTTTCCCACAGCTCCCCGCCCCACCCTTTATGGGCCGTCACGCAGGCTACATTGTTTTAGCTGTTTATTATTATGGCACATGGTATGGACACCTGCTCGTTTAACCAGTACCGGCAACCAATAATGCAAATTCAAACTCCCGATTTAAGGACGCTCGTGGGCATTGTTCGTGCACATCCGTTTCTACTAAGCATGAATTTATTGAGCTCGCGCTCATCGTAATGACGTCATTCCAATGTTTTGATAAGCAAAATCACAGGGAGCCCAATTTAGATTAAAGTGAATAGTGAAAATAAAATCGAAAAAAAAAATCATTACTAATTAAATTCGAGGTCAAGATAATGTCTCTCGTAATACGATAGAGTAAAAAAAAAATCAATGAAAAAATCGACTTAAACATTTTCCTTTGTTTTCCTATACGATTTCCCTATGGTATCTAATGTCGCTCTTATGTATATATACTCTGACTTAAACTGTGACTCGTCAGAGTATATATACACAAGAGTAGCGACATTACATACAATAGGGGAATTGACTTGTCAGAGTATATATACATAAGAGCGAAATTGAACCACGTACTGTGTAAATAAAACGTACAATCAACTGTATACAACGTGTATACATACTAGTTATGACAAAACTATTTCATTCCCATAGAAAATCAAATGTATAGATCAACGCGCAGCGTATGATGGCACTGCAGTTGAAATGCCTACAAACTGCAAGTCATCAGTGGGCTCCCTAGGGCTGCCTGCGAACTGACGCGGAACGCCTTTTCTGATCCTTCAAGGCGAGAAAACTGTACGTAGGTAAGTAAAAATTTCGTCCGTTAGAAGAACCTTTTTTAAATCTATAAACTATATTTTTGTTGTCCTAATATATCTAAAGAATATTCTTGCATATAGAAGATCGTAAGCTTTAAAAATCGCAGTAGTTATCCGTTTGATATTCGTCTAGATCTGTGTACTGAGCTTTCTTTACTTTAGCGACAAAAGAGCTACAATCAAACACTGCCAAGCCAGCTCATGCGTTCCTATCGAGGTTCAAAGATTTATTCTATTATTCAAAGTTTGATTTCCATCTCACTTCGAAACTTGCATTAGTAAATGTCGATCCCGGCCTTTACCTCAAAACATCAAAATTTTCATTTGTGAAAGGACTTTTTGAACAAAACAACACACAGATCAGTTTAAAATGGTAGCTATACAACTGTAGAAATAGTTTTTGCTTTACACGAATCTGTAAAGACGTGGTTAAACTTTTAATCCGATCCCAATTTTCAAATTTACGACGTTCGTTTTATTGATGAAAGCTTCAAAGCAAGATGAAAAAAACTGAATGTTTGAACCTCGATAGGATAGCATGAGCTGGTTTGACTTTAAAGTAAACTTAAATTCGCACTTTTTCCTGGTTTCAAATGCTTTCCTAGCTGGCTTAAAAAGTTTTCCTTCAACGGATAAATTAGTTCTCCATATCTTTGCATGTTTTTGAAATCAGTTTGTTGTTTATTTAACTAGAGTATAATAACGTTATGTGAGTACCACTTCATGACCTCGTGCAAACTATTGAATATTTAAATCTAGACGCCGCATCATTATAGGTTTTACATATGTTTAATTGTATTACTTAAACAGACTTTTCTACTCAGTTATTGCCTTATTAGCTAATGCTTTAACTTACTTATGACGATTATCTACCAGAATTTAGAGATTTAAACCTTAAGAGGTTTGGGGTAGAAGTGGTATTTTTTCAGTTTTTGTTTGTGTGCACGTACCAAGTACGTAAAAACACCTGCTGTACACACGTTATGTAATCGAAGGCCTACACTCTCACAGTGCTATACTCTCTCCCTATTAAAATAAGAGAACTCAAGTAAGCTTAAAGAAAAGAAAAAAAGTAAGCTTAAAGGACTATATTTTTAAAGAAAACTTAAAGAAAGGCTCATAAAAACACACAAAAATGCCTATTAAAGAAGCACTTCAAACACTACTGGGTATAGACACCCAACAGGCTATGAAGGGAGACATTGGACTACATGTAGACTTGCTTCAAATCTCTCTTGCTTATTTTTTCCATTGTTAACTCAAATTCAAATAATGCACCTCCAGTTATGAAGGCTTTCCAAAACGAGATGTGCACTATTTGAATCTGAGTTTGCAGTGGAAAAAAATTAGCAAGCGAGACTTGGAGCAATTCTAGACTACATGAGACTGCTGGAGACAAGATTCCCCAGCCATCAGAAAGAAGCTCCCTCAGGTCTGGAACTGTATTAAAGGGAAACATGATGATGATAATATTCAGACTCTATCTACATATTTTATTCCTTAATTTGGAGCCTTGCTCCATTATGCTGTCTCTCATAGATGTATAAATTTTTACACCACCTTAGTCCTCAAGCATAAATGGACTATAAGTCAATAGCGAATAGGCTTTTGACTCAGGCCATGAGGGCATATAGGTGAAGGGCTTTTAGGTGAATATAGCAGCATAAAGATATAAATGAGCATGAGCATGCCAGATTTATTATATTCACTTGCGTAAAAATACTAATATAGTTTAACAGAGGCAACCCACAATTCGAGATAAAGTAAAAGGGTAGATTTTTCTGTAGGAATTAAGGAGAACTGTGGCAGCTAAAGAAATACCTATGTAAATATAATGTATCTAAGTAAACCTTTTGAAGTTATTTCAATATAGGATTCCCATCAATTATTTTTCATGAACTCACATATCACCAGAAACTGGTGTGCTCGCTAGTTATATTCTATTTTTTTATTGACAATTCTTGGGTTGAGATAAAAACCATTCCTCATTAGTTTCTCTCGTTAGATGTATAGATCAACCAACATGGCTGCTTTTTCATTCTTATTTATTTCTCAAGGGATTTTGAGTCATGTGGTTGCACCCCAAGAATAAGTTTTTTTAGATAGAAATAATGTGCCTTCTCTGCCCATAAAAAATATACATTGCTTCCCCCCCCCCCCCCCCCCCCAAAATTGTCTCATAAGAATGGTAAAACAAATGAAAGGGATGCTTGTAGTAGTGGGAAATGATGCAAATGTCTTATTCTTCATTAGAATAACAGTTATGAATGACAGTTATGAGAAACAGACTGCCCTTTGTTCTTGTTTAGAGCCTTGCTTGGCACCATTTAGTTGATCCAGTTTTACTCTTGAAAGCATTATTATGTGGAGAGAGAGAAGGCGAAAAGCACTTCAAATACAGGGTCTAACATGTGGGCCATGGAAAAGGGAGGACAAATAGGTGGGGTAACTGGATATTTTTGGTGTATCAAGTAAAAGAAAACTGGCAAAGTATTTTTTGCAAGAGATGGGTCAACATTTGAGGGAAGAGGCAGGAAATGTTTAGAACTTGATGATCAATTGTATTTTTGTAGAACTCATTTTCTCAATTTCATTTTTTTTCCACACTGTTTTGATTCTCAGATGATATTTTGAATGTGTCAATATGAATACATGGGCCAAAAAATTGACCATTTGCCAAGTGCTGTTGGTTGCTGCAATTCTTTTATTAATATTCAAAAGAAGATACATTACTTACACCATCAATTATGCCAGACTGATCATAGATGCAGTTGCAAAAGACCAACAAAGAACAGAGGACAACTCCTTTCTGTTGGCAAAGATAGAATGGGATTACCATCGATTACAGGTACAATATATGGAGAAAATTTGTAAGAACAGAGGACTCGTTGACAAGGATTATACCTGGTTGACAGCCCTGGTAAATGATGAGTACGTTCTTCCTGGTATTGTACTGGGTCATTCCATCAGGACTCTATCTTGTGTCAGAAACATGCTTGCTCTGGTCTCTGATGAAGTCGGTCGCTCTGGACTTGAAGCGTTAGCTAAGGTGGGATGGGATGTAAAGGTCGTAAGCGCAATGGATTGTCGTTGGATGGAACGAAGACTGGGTCGTATGCCTTCCGGTAAGGGAATACTCGGAACGCACACACGGTTCCATGCGTGGAATTACACACAGTATTCTAAGATCATCTACACTGATCCTGATTACATGCTGTTGACAAATATCGATGAACTCTTCGAAGTCCCAGCAGATTTTGCAGCAACCTACTGCGCTAGGCCAGGCATTGTGGACCCGTGCTTTAATGCAGGTTTGTTAGTTTTTAGACCAGATTTTTACGATTACGAAAACATCATGAACATGTGGAAAACAATCTCAGAGGAGAGCTGTCCTAATGACCAGGTACTTCTATGGCACTACTACGCCGATAGAGGAAGATGGAAGCCATTATCATTTGCATACAATGTAAGAAGAGTTATCCATCGTCCAATCAAAGCCTTTCATTTTGCTTGCTGTCCTCCGCCCAAGCCGTGGAAGCAGAGATGCCGCCCAAGTCGAGATGAAGCGAGAAGTTATGATCATCCAATCACGAATGTAAGAGAGGTGTCCTTAGTGTATTGGAAGAAATTCTATGAAGCACTGAAGACTTACCAACTAGAAAACTGGTGGAAAAATACCAAGTACTACAATCCCGAGGTTGAATTTGGAAAACGTCTGTATCGAGAGTGCTGGAAGGAGGAATAAGATCGAGGAATACTAGCTAACAGATTGAGAATTGATGTCGCAATAATATTTATTGAAGAAATAGAAAACGCGCACGCGTTGTGCCTACGGTTATAAAGCCAAATTTGTTGTGCAAGGTCATGGGAGTGATATAATATAACTCCGCGTGCAACTACAAGAAATAGAAAACGCGCACGCGTTGTGCATACGGTTATAAAGCACGCGGGGGTTGGCAGAATACAAGGAAGTGTTTGGAGAAGCACGACGCAACTGAAAGTGCTCGCTCGTGCTGTGTGCTCTCATAAAGTACGCGCTCCCAACCAATCAGAACGCGAGATTAATAACAGTTATTCTATATATACAGTGCAGTAATACGGACTCGATTCGACATGAGCAGAAATTTGTTGTGCAAGGTCATGAGAGTGATATAATATAACTCCGCGTGCAACTACAATTTTTTTTGCGCAATGAGACTAATATCAATTTGAAAGTAATGCAGCATTGTTTATTGAGCGATTGTTGCGCAAACAAAATTTCTTGTAAATTTTTTAAGAAGTCGGTTTGCTGCACTCTCAAACTGTAGCGAATGAATTAAGTTCGTTTGCAGACGAAGTGCGCGACAATTAGAGCGTGATTTTGCTGCCATCGTTTATCTTTACATCTTCTCGCTTAGAGCGGTTTTTGAGCGATGCTTCAATTTCATAGCACATACACGCACATTCCATAACATTTGAATGGCTTCCCATTCTCGGTTTCAGCAATTCATCCAATCGCAGCGCGTAGTTATGGCTACAGTAAAATACAGTACTTCTGCAGCACGGCTACCTCTAAGAGTATAATTACTGATATTATCAAAATCCATTGTTTTCAGTCTGCATTATCCCAACGAATGCATAGAGGAAAATCAGACATATTTAGTTCATTCATTATTGGCTTTGTTTCTATGATAAACAAGCTAGAAAGAAAACAATTGGATTTTGATAAGAACAATAATTATACTAGATAATTACTTCGGCACGCAGCATTCGTAGGTATAATGCATTATACCTACGAATGCTGCGTGTCTCAGTAATTATCTATTAAATGTCGTATTATGTTCATTGCTGTATGTTTATCACTCATGCGATAAGCATTCTTATGGAAAGCGATTTCGATGTTACGGTATGTCCTACCGTGTACTTGTTGTAAGTCGGTACCGTATGTTTCCCACTCATTCACAATCGCAATTCGAATAATAAGCTTGACAATTTTGTATAGTAAATAAATATTCGCCCTAGTTTAGCTAATAATTCCAGCATGGTATCACCTAAGATATTTAAATTGTTATTTATTGATGTTATTTATACGAGGCATGCTAGTGCCATTATTGAGGTATTGAAGGCAAGGTTGGAGCATGAAAATTATATCGTATTTATTGTGCATTATTTAGCACCTTTATAAAACTTTTTTGAACTTTACGTCTATAAAATCGTATCGTAATGTTTACTTCAAATTTGTATATTTAATTGAATTTAATTAACAGTTCTTGCGCATTTATTTACTTTGTGACTCGATCACTTCTCCCGGTTGTACGAAGGGTGGCCATGGATAACGCTCTCTGACTGATAAATTTTCTTATCCACAGTGGATAAATTTATTGGACAAAACCATCGACTTTTTTAATTCTTATCCACTGGATAAGGATTTATCCGTTGGATAGCGCTATCCATCCTTCGTACAACCGAACCTAGATGTTCATTTTGGGGCGCGCGCTTTTGCGGTTATGGCGATGTAATGAACTTCACATCCAGTGAAAGGTCTTTTTAGATTATCAAAATGTTCCTTTCAATGGATGTGAAAAAGTCATGGTGTAATGAACTTCACATCCAGTGAAAGGACCAGGAAAATACACTTGATTTTTCCGATCGAGGTTGGTTAATTAGTTACAGTAATCTCTGATTATGAGTAAAAAGAAGGGATGGTCAATTGTCTTCCTACGGCCGTAAAAAAAAGACATCAAATTGAAATAATAATATGAATTTTTAAAATCTTATCTTGATACGATGGGGTTCAAACCCATCGACAGAAATGAAAAAAAAAAACGATTCATTTTGCCATACCCCCGAGACATCCGCAGAGCTGAGGCGTCGTATGGACTTCGGACCTGACGGCGATTAAATCCTTCTGCCCTTGGGTGTACGAATTACGCAAGAAAATGTTCTAGCCGAAGCATCAGGAGAGAGACCAGCCGGCCCCCAGACCATATCGGCTAATCCCTTGCATCTCTGCCACGCACGGAATCGGTTACATTTTCGGAGTTAAAAAGTCTAGTCTATCCGGTGCATTGTTTTTACGGCTATTGTTATGCTGATTTACTTGGGAACATGGTCCAGCGGGAAAAACGTGGGCTTTCATATCATGACCGACTGAGACAAGTCTGGTCAAGCCAAGTTTTTACCTGGATGGTTGACCTGAAACTATTGCCTACTAAAAATATTTTCGCTAAATTTTTCCCCTAAACTTTCAGTCAATTAAAATCCGTTTGAGTTTATAAAATTGAGAAATTGTCGAAAATTAAAAACTGCAGGCCATTAAACCCGTGTGCGTTGGTTTGTAATCATAAGAAAATTTTCGAAGTACCACAAAGAGAATGGTTCGTATTCTGTACCAGGGTAAGACCAACACGCATCAATGTCCTACTCTAGAACTCAGTGGCACATTTATCACTTGATAAACAGCAACAATCTCCTAATCAGCAACTCGAGTCTTATATTTGTACATGTATCCCTTAATCTAAATTAAAGGGAATCCCCTCCTAGAATTTGGAGCATCCCTTACCTGATTTAGGATTATACCTTAACCTGATTTAGGAGTAT